CACACACACACACACACACACACACACACACACACACACACACACACACACACCTGTAGCTCCAGGTTGAGGTGTTCAGCTCCTGATCCTGGGCCTCTGAGGTCCTGTAGAAGCAGCAGTATCTAGATTTTTCCCTCCAGCTTTAATATCTTGGATGAAAAATAAAAGGATTGTTCATTTTGTCCTGATACATAAACTTCAGGATTAAAAAAAGGATCTCCTTTTCTCATCAGTGTAAAAGCTTGTACGTTGAGCACATTAACGGGATGAACTGACGGACATGTTTTTATCTGGACGCGTGCTGGTTCTGAGGCCGGTTCTGCTTTTAATGTAATCAAATTGAAATGTCCAAATAATCTGTCTGAGTGACATCACAAAGTGGTTGTTTAATACACATTATGTGACTCCTCAAATCCCCGCTGGTGACGCTCCTGGCAGCCTGACAGGTGCGTGTCGGTGCCGTCCATTTTGCCGGGGATCATTTCTCGCTGCGGTTGGTGAAATCAAAATGGTGGCTTAAGTTATTAAAAGTGAGCAGCTTTAATCATTGGCTGCTGAAAAGTCAAGGTTGGAGGAGCAGCGAGGATTAATGTCCTTTAAAGCACAAAGCCTCATATCCAGCCAGCCGGCTGTCACCGCCCCTCCCCCGCCCTCAGCTGATCTCATTTCATCATCTGACGCCCGTTCTCCGTTTGCTCTTTCTCTCTCTGTCTGTCCGGCTCCTCTTCCTCCTCCAGCCTTTCCTCCCTGCTTTGATTCGTCTTCCTCCCTGGATCCAGGTGAGATATGAGGCGTCATCATGGGTTTTATGGAGTTCTACCTGGAGATTGACCCCGTCACCCTCAACCTCATCATCCTGATCGCCAGCTATGTCATCCTGCTCCTAGTCTTCCTCATCTCCTGCATCCTGTACGACTGTCGTGGCAAAGACCCCACCAAGGAGTACGTCCCAGACGGCGCGCCGGCGCCTCCCGGCCAGTCGCCCATACGCCTGGTGGTCATGCAGAACTCGCCCGCCTCGGGCCGCTGTGAGCCCAACAACACGTCAGGTCACGTCGCGCCACCGACGCCTGACCTGAGCCGGGACAGAGCGGACAGGGAGAGGGAGAAGAGGAGTACTCTGGTCTGAGGAGGAGGAAGGTGACAGCCATGAAGTGCTGCTGAATAACGTTGTCTTTTTACTCTGAACCTTTAAGTCTCTGGATGTGTGAGCAGGTAAGCAGAAGGGTTACAAATAGTCAAGATAAAATATGGATATTTTAATGAAAAAACTCCACCAGCTGTCCAAAGTTCAAGAACAGCGAAGAACAATACAAACTGAGTGAGTTCAGGAGTGGTATAAATATTTTCTTTACCTTTAATTTCAGATATTTTTACAATAAATTTATACAACTCAGACTCAGACATTTTAATTGATTATTCTCAGAGGTGACAAAACAGCAAAGACATCAAATAATAAAATACATCATCTGTTAAAGGAGGACATTAAAATGTAAACAACTTTAGTTAAAACACTAATAAAACTACACACACATTCTTGTTTACCATATAATGTGGGGTCTCTGGATTTTAACCTGCATCATTGGAACGTGACATTTTGGACAATATTCGACCAAAACTTTCATCAGGTTGAAGATATTTGACTTACAGAAGAAAAACCTGGTAAAAGTTTTTGAAAGTTTGATCTGTTTTATGGGAATTTCTCAATCAATCAATCAATCAATCAATCAATCAATCAATCAATCAATCAATCAATCAATCAATCAATCAATCAATCAATCAATCAATCAGCATTTGTATATAGAGCTCTTTTTACACAGTTATGTAACACAAAGTGCTTTAAAGCAGATTAAACAAAACCCAAGATGAACAGATGAAACAACCAAAAACACCAAAACTCAGGAAGACAAAAATAACAAAAGGGACTCACAAAAACAAAAGACACAACAACAAAAAAAGAAAAAGAGGAGAGCCACAAAGAAGACAGACAGAAAAAATGAAGACAATAACACATAAAGAAAGAAAGAAAGAAAGAAAGAAAGAAAGAAAGAAAGAAAGAAAGAAAGAAAGAAAGAAAGAAAGAAAGAAAGAAAGAAAGAAAGAAAGNAAGGAAGGAAGGAAGGAAGGAAGGAAGGAAGGAAGGAAGAAAGGAAGAAAGAAAGAAAGAAAGAAAGAAAGAAAGAAAGAAAGAAAGAAAGAAAGAAAGAAAGAAAGAAAGAAAGAAAGAAAGAAAGAAAGAAAGAAAAGAAAAGAGACAAAATGACAAATCAGAGGGACAGCTCAGGTTTGGAGACAAAGTTAGTGTTGAGGTTGAGACAGCGTGGACATCAAGGACAGTTGGACCACAGAGGTGGAGACAAAAGACAAAAAGTGGACAAGACGTTCTAATATCTGTCTCTGTGTGTTGAGCTCTCTGCTGCTCGTTTAGCTGACGTCACAACAAAACCACAGAAATCAGTTTTATTTTCCTCAGAGCTGAACGGCAGCAGCTGATTGGTTATTTTAAACAGTTTAACATCAAATCTAAACCTGGTGAGTTTATTCTTATAAAGCAGTTCTGTTCTGTAGAAAATTAAAATCACACAAACAGTGATAATTT